TCTTAACCATCGCGCCACTCGGCCGGCCCTCCTGGGATTCTTTTATTACTGTTTATTCCCACCTCATGCCTTAGAATGTTGAGTATGAGATTCCCCCTTCTCCCTTTTGCTTGTATTTCCACCTCTCCCAGTTTTGGGTTTTTTTCAGTTACTTGTCTGACTAACACTTCCTAAGTTTCCAGACATATTTTTTTTTGTAGTTGACCTCTGAGGATGAGGAGGAAGTTGAAGCAGAGGAAGGCCAGCCTGGAGCTTCGGGGAAGAAATCTGCAAATGGAGCAGTTAAGAAATATGTTCCACCACGCTTGGTTCCAGTGCATTATGGTATGAACTGTGGTTGCTGTTTCCTCAGCATGAATTATGTTTCTCTTCTCTTTTTCTCTGTTCTGAGATAACTTTTGCTAATTTTTATCACACAGATGAAACAGAGGCTGAGCGGGAGAAGAAGCGCCTAGAACGAGCCAAGAGGCGGGCATTGAGCAGCTCTGTCATTCGTGAACTTAAGGAGCAGTACTCGGATGCTCCAGAAGAAATTCGTGATGCTCGGAACCCCCATGTTACTCGCCAGAGTCAGGAGGATCAACACAGGTCAGAGTCCCTGCAATTAGATGTTTCCTGTGCAGTAGAGACTTGTCCTTATGCTTTGGATGAATATGATTAGTCTGGTATCAAGAGAACCCACATTACCGTATTTCCCCATGTATAACACACACCCTTTTTCGAAATATTTGGGGTCTTATACAGTGGTTGCATGAGCACACACACAAAAAAACAAGCGCGAAAAAAGCGGGAAATGCAAGTAAGAAAAAAAAAATCTATAACCACTGTATAAGACACACCCAGTTTTTAGACCCAAAATTTTTCAGAAAAGGGTGTGTCTTATACATGGGGAAATACGGTATGTAGAAACCGGAGTCGAAACTTGGGACGACAGTTTCTAAGAATTAAAGGTTTGAAGTACAGAATAAGAACTAGGGAAAAAAAGTCTTTTTCCCCCCAGCTATTTAGGCAGAACAAATACTACATGAAGAGGGATATATTGCAGTTTCAGCTAATAGGGCTTTAACATTCTGTATTTCGCTATCACAACTCTTGCTTTTGTGCAGAAGGCAGTATAGGCTGGTTTTTAATGGCATCCAGAGTACTAGATAAGTTTAGGGAAGAGAAGTAGAAAAGTGATTGTAACTTGAATACAGAATCATCAACTTTGCCCATGTGGCAATCCCCACAGTTGATAGATTTGAGTGACAGGGCCCATGTAGGACATCCTTTTTATGGAGCCGAAGTATAAGAATTTTTTGATGTAATAATTGAAATATTTCTATGGATGGGCTATGAGTTCATTTGTAGGGAGGAGGGAAGTGATAGCACAAACAACATTTCCTTGAGGAAGCTCAGTATTGAGCATTCAGTGTGTCCTTACTAAATATATTGACCTGCTATGAAATTTATTGAGAACTGTTTGAATAAGGAATAAATTCCTGGGCCCAGGTTCTTGGCTGCAGCTTTGCATCTGATGGACCGAGCATGCTGGAAACTGTCTGTGTTTCTCTGGCAGGATTAACTATGAGGAGAGCATGATGGTGCGTTTAAGTGTCAGTAAGCGAGAAAAAGGACGGCGAAAACGAGCAAATGTCATGAGCTCACAGCTGCATTCCCTCACACACTTCAGTGACATCAGTGCTTTGACAGGAGGAACTCCAAATCTTGATGAGGTGAGGTTGTGGTACAGTGGTGGGAGGTGACTTTCATGCTTTCAGCCAAACATGCGTGGAGCTTTTGTTACCGTGAGGAGCTTGGGAAGGAATACTAACACTTGGAAATGCACTGCCATTCCTTCACTTCTCCATTTGTCTCCAGGATCAGAATCCTATTAAGCGGAAGAAGATTCCTAAGAAGGGTCAAAAGAAAAAAGGTCAGTGAATGGCTAGGACTCAAGTGATCAAGAGCAGGGTGGGGAGTACGAATTGGGATGCCATCTAGGTCTTACCAACCCCCTGTACTATTTCTTCTATAGTGGGCATTAATCTCTTTAGAGGTGGGCTTTTATTTTTCTTCTTTCCCAACTTGAAAATCAGCATCATTCACAAAAGAGATTTCTGGATTCTTTCTCTAAGGACCCACAGCTCCTGTTCAGGCTTCCTTAAATAGAACTATAAACACTATAAACATGTCTCTTGAAGGAACCATTATCCCAGTTCAGTTTCTTCCTACTTCTAGTCTTTTGTCCTGGGAGGATGTAGGGTACTGCCTGGGTACGCACCCCTATTTGAGCCCTTCTCTCTAGATGTCTTTTTGTTCTGTCCCTTCAACTTTTCCAACTGTCCTTTGCCTCATTCTTGGTTTCCATTCCTTTCAGGTTTTCGGAGGCGGCGGTGATTATGGATATATATTATGGATATATGTATATATATATAAAATATATATATATATATATATATTTTTGGTCATCCTGGGATACTTCTAATGTCACTGTATTATAGTTTTTTTTCCCCCTTGGAATGAGTTAATTGTTTCCTCTGGACATGTGGAAAGATCTTTATTAATAAAATTGATTTTACTTATGAATTGAAGCCCCTTTGACACATGTATTGTGTGATTCAATCGCTGGGTGTGGGGGATTTTTGGTGAGAGGGCAATAATAGGGAAAGATGAGATTTGGGGGAAAGTGGGAAAAGTTTGACTTTATGTAGTTTTCTTTGATAATGGAAACTAGAAATTGGTTATTTAACAACAACAACAAAAATCGAGCAATTAGAGGAGTATAAACTCTTCAACCCACCTTGCCCCAAGTTCCTGTATTTGTTACAATACAGATAATCTGAAATATGTGGATTTTAAGTTTTATTAATGTATCTTGCTGGCCACCAGGTGGCATTAGTGGTTCAGAAAACCTTTGGTGCTTGACTAATCAAAAGCAAAATAGAACCTTTCCTTATCAGTGAGTTACTCTTGTCTCCACTTCTCTGAATGTTTTTCTTTTGTTTCTAAAATAGCATGAGCATAGGGCTGATCTTAGGTCAGTTATTGAAAGTAAGTGTTTATCTGGAGAGATAGTAAAGGAGAAGACTACAGTGTGAAGAAGCAGTATAGCGTATAGCCGTGTGTTTTTTTAGCCTCTTTGACCCTCCATCAACTAACTCAGTTTACCAGTCAGTAAAGGCCAGCCCTTTTATGAAGAGCTTGCAGAAAAATGCCAGCAAGCAGCAGACAGAAAATTCCTAGCTTAAAGACCAAAAGAATGAAATATCAACCTAAGTCAGGTGACTGGTGAGAATTGCATATCTGAGGTCTTGTATTCTGTTCAGAGAATGACCTTGGTTAGTGAGAGATCCCTCAGGCCTTAGATAATAAAGTGAAAAGAGGAATGGAAAGAGAAGTTGAGGAGTGTGTAGAATTAATTCATTGGGGTTTAAGAGTCTCATGAACATCTGAGTTTCGAGTCTGGCATTTCTGGGCAGTGCCATGGAGAGGGCTATAATTTGGGTCATTACATCACTAAAACCTTGTTGATCCTGGTTCCTATGAATTTGGATCTATACTGGTCTGTCCAATTAGGGCAAGGGCTGTTTTCAGTCAGCTGCAGCCTGGAAGAAAGTAATAAGGAGACAGTCTAGTACTATTTTCTGTTAACTCTGTGATTTTGGGTAACTCACATCTTTTCGTCTTTTAATTTTCCTCAGCTGAAAAATAAATGTGTTAGACTAAATCGCTGAGATTGCCTCCAAACCAAAGAGCCTAGAGCTGTTTCTCATGGATGACACCAAGGTGTCAGCCCCTTTCTGGCTGAACTAACTATACGAGACTTTCAGTTAAAAAATGCTTTAGTTAGGACTACTAAATTTGCTTCTTAAGACTAACTATTGCATTTGCTTCTAATTTATTAACATTTTTGGATTATGGGAACTGCCGAGGGAAAGGAAGTCCTTTTTTTCTTTTCTTCCCCCCATGTTTTACTGGAAGATGACTGACACCAGGACTGGGGTGAGGGCAGCTCAGGAAAGTCTTCCCAAAACCTCAGACTGCTGTTCAGACCCACAGTCAGCCACCTGTCCCCTTCCTCCTTGGCCTAGGCCCTACACACAGATGGCTCCAACCATAGGTACAATTCCAAACCAGTGAGAAGCCAGGAGATGCAAGAGTCATGGAGTGCAGGGAAACTGAGCCAAGACGTGCAGACATCAATCTCTAGGCAGAGGCTACCTCAGCTCATAAGGTCCACCCAACCCTTTACACCACAGGCAGACCCAGCCTCCTTCAGACCCAGTGCTTTTGTCAAGTACACAAGGAAATGGCAGAGCTGGGATTCAAACCCAGGCTGCCTGGATCAGAGTCCTGATATCTAACCTATATACCATGATGCTTCTTATTTATTTATTTATTATTTATTTATTTATATTTAAAGATCTTACTTTGTTACATACTGACCTAAGTATTTTACACTTAATCTTTAGAAAATAGATGTCATCTCTAGATTGCTATGAGGAAACTGAGACACTTAGGTTATTTGTCCAAGGCTACACGGCTGATAAGTTAGAGCCTAATGGTCTGGGAACACAGGCTGGAGGACCTCAAGTATCCTGCTCCTCACTCCTTACTGCCCTATTTCTATTCGAGGCCTTGCCTTCAAAGAAACCACAAGTTCCAGACACTCTCTGGCCTCTTGGTATAGCAGTGAGCTGAACAGACAAAAACCCCTGCCTTTGTAGATCTTATATTAATCCAATCTAGTCATTAATCTCAGAACATCTTGTTTTCCTTGGCCTTCTAGATGACAAGCATTATTTGAAAGGTTTTCAACAAAAAGTTGAATAATTTCTAAGAATATTTGCACCGGAGTCTTCAAACAATGTTTAGAGTTCATTGTTGTACAAAGTTTTACATGGATTCTCAATGTGTGAAACAAATATAAGTGAGGTTACTTTCGTTAAAGTGGGGTTGAGGGGTCCTGGAGCTCCCTGTTCTCATGGCCCGCTTTCCCCAAGATCTCTGAGAAACTCCTGTAGAACTCAACAGAATATAGTTTGAAAACCACTGTTACAGTAGTAGAACGAGGAACTAAGACCTAGGTATTCAGGGTTTCTTTCGTTTTTTTCCTTTTTAAAAAAATTTTATTGGGAAATTGGGGGAGGGGAACAGTGTTGGGGAATTGGGGAAGGGGACCAGCCAAGTTGTTGTTCTTCAGTCTTTGTTGTGGAGGGTGCCAATCGCCATCTGGATGCCTGTCGGTAGCTTGTGGCCTCTAAGCTCAAGGTGCTGTGTTCAATCTTAGTTGTGGGTGGGCGTAGCCACCATCCCATGTGGGAGTCGAACCAGCAGCCTTGTTGTTAAGAGTGCACGCAGCAGCTCAGCTCAAGGTGCCGAGTCAGTCTTAGTTGCGGATAGGCATAGCCACCATCTCATGTGGGAGTCGAACCCAGCAGCCTTGTTGTTAAGAGCGCACGCCCTATCCACTGAGCCATTGGGGTGGCAGCTCAGCTCAAGGTGCCAGAGTTCAGTCTTAGTTGCGGGTAGGCATAACCCACCATCGAACAGGCTACCTTGTTAACACCAGCTGAGCCATCCTGCTACCTGTTGGCAGCTCAGTGACAGCTCAGCTCGGCGCAGCATCACTAGCCCATGTGGGAATCGAACCGGCGGCCCTGTTGCTCAGCGCTCGCGCTCTTAAGCCAACTCTTAACTAATTGAGCCATTCGGCCAGCCCTCAGGGTTTCTTTATTGCTGTTGTTTGCTTTTTTCTTACTCCTATGCATAGATTCAGTTCTCTGATGGTTCAGACTACATGAATGTCAGATTTCCTCAGTGCAGTTCTAATAGCAGATCATTCATTCCCAGTGCTCATTAAGAAATGTCTGTCATTTAGTGCACATGAGCATCTGTTCAGTTTTATCATGTGATGGTAAAGTGTGTCCTGGCTTTGTTCTGGACAAGTTAGCATCTCTGCCTTAGTATTTTCATCTGAGGGGGTGGGGAAGAGGATTTGACCAAGGTCTGATTTTGCTTCTAAAGCTTTTGTTATAATTTTTTGAAGGCTTGGGGAAGTGTCTGTCAGGAGTTGACAACAGTCTTCATGGATATCTTACTAGAAAAATAAGCTTTGTTTATAAGGAAAGAATAACCTGATTATGTCCGTTTTCAGCACCATGGAGAGTTCAAGCTCATTCCTTGTTTTGGGTTGGTGGAAGGTACATACATAGCTAAACCAATCCATAGAGCTGGATGGTGTAGACCTCCCCTTTTGCAGAGCTCAGTTTATCTGTCCAGTCCCCAGTTCTGATTGGTACAGATTGAGTGGGTATCAGCAGTAGCCATGAGTGTTCCTGTCCTCCCTGGGATCTATTAGGTGTGCAAACCTCAGATTTATGTTTAGACTTATCCAAGGATTTGGCCAACTTGACAGAGACATGAGCGAATCCTGTTTTCTGCTCTTTTGGTAACATGCGTATTGTGATAAAGTTTTTTAACAGTCCTTGAGAAAAACTGTCTGTCTCCTACTCTTTGCTTACAGACCCTTAAGAAGACTTAAAGTTGCTTTTTCATTCATTTGGGCTCAGCCTCTTTCTGCCTCTGTGTGGAGAAAGGCATCACTGCGCTGGCTCTCTGCCCAGTCTTGCTTTTGTGTTTCTTTGATCTCATTGTTCAGAGGGTCTCCGAGAAACCCCAAGAGCCATGCCTTTGCATGTTTAAGCTATTGATGCTTTTGAAATAACAGAGCGTCGCTGTGTAAGAAGTGTATTAAAGGTCTATCTTGAACAAATTTGGGTCAATAGGTGGCAGTAGTCACCTAGTCCCGAGGCCCTGACACCCCCTGAACATAAGCACATTTGATGGCCATTATACTTAAGGTTGTTAGAAAGGAGATCACATTGAAATAAAAATGGGGGGGAAAGCAGTCCTTTTTGTTGGAATCCAGGAAATGCTGAAATGTACTGGATTACCCCTGTGGGGGTGTTGTATGGGGGAGATTGCCGTCAGCTGTGAAGGGCACTGGTACGAAAGAGCAGGGCCTCAGGACTGGGGGAGTGCTGTGTGGGTACTGGGGCTTCTGAGAGCTAGAGTAAGACTGTTAAATGATAAAGTCTAAGGTTGAGGAGAGTAGAGAGAAGGAGGTAGAGGAGGGAGGGGCAGAACTGTGTGAAGGGACCATGGAAAGGGTGGGCTGTGATGGGGAGGACTGCAGTTAGAGGGGGAGGGGGAGACTGCTGCAATACTGAGCCTATCTAGTGGAGGAGGGGAGAGGGAGATACTGGTCTGTGCTGCAGCTGCATTGGCTCCCCTCCCCCACACTTCCCAAGAAGCCAGAGCAATGCTGGCAAGTCTGCCTTCATGTATTTATTATTATTAAAAATGTGAAGGATCCTTCCTCCCTAGAAGCACAACAAATACCACTGATCACATTTCTCTCCCCTCCCTCTGCAGAGCTTTTGCATTCTCTCTCTCATTCTTTCCACCCTACCCCTCCCACCCCCAGCTCTGTTTGACTGTTGGTGGGACCCTTCCCTTTACTTCTCTGAGCTTGGTGGCTCCCTGGGGGTTTCTAATGATGGTTGGGAGTTACAAGGCAATGCTGGGA